CGGGACCAAAATATTTCTTCGGATTAACGAGGAATTCGGATTAACGAGGTTCGGATTAACGAGGTTGACTATGTAATAGGAACAGGTGCATACTTTACATTCCAAGGTTCTGAACTTGATGCATTGATATATTCAGTTAGAGTAGTTAAAAAGCTCATGTTATGCCTATCCGAATAACTATTTCTCCGAAAGAGAAATATAAGGATTCATCTACGAGTTTTTTTGCTTCTTTTGACTATGGATCATTGCCAACAAAATTTACATTTGCATGGATTTAACGTGATCGTGATGCTTAAGAGTGGTCTACGGTAGAAGAGCGAGTCGTCGGACAAACGACACTGGTGGAGACTTATGCTTGCAAGGAAATTGTCATACCGTTATCGAACGTATCTCGGTTAATTAATGATAGGCTGGAAGACGCTTTGAGACGAAGGATGTACAGTACGAAGAGCCTAAGTCGGAGTATAATGGCTTCCGGGGCAACAGTAAACGCAAGCGCACGCCCAAATTATTCTTCAAAATCTGATGAAAACTCGGAGGATAATGGGTTTCAGGATCTCAATAGTATTAAACAACAGAGATCAAGTGATATTCGGGTCGTAAAACCAAAATAGTAGTACTCAATTTAATGATTTTTCAGATGTTTCTCGAACTTGTAAATGTAAAACCGCTGTATTTCTAATGGTAAATGTTGCTGTTTTAGAGCAGGTAGAGCTTGTGCAGGGGAATGTTCATGTTAAGGAAATACTCTAATAGTTGTACTGAATCGATCTAAAACAAAATATATATTCGTTGCGCTGGTCAGATTGGGGCAGATCATAACCCCAGGTTGTGCCTTAGAACATGTAACCGTTCGTCTGTGGCGGAAATTAGACCGCAAAGTATCTACACAGTCAGCCTCGATAAGCCGGTTTTGGCTTAAGCCGGCCAAAATTTGTCAGCTGTTTTTTCACTATTCAAAAATTCTCGATAAGCTGTAAGCCGGCCAACAGCTCCAGCAGGATGTACCCCGATAAGCTGGTCCACGTGATTTTTGTAATATGTGACACGGTTTTTGTCAAATTAACTGGTTGTACGAATTATCATTCGTTTAAAATAAAGATCGGAACCGTTGTTATAAATCAAATTGCTAAAATGTATTACAATCAACAATATCAAAGCACTACAGTCATACGATTAATCCCAAGATACATGTCACTACATTATAATTATATGATTAGAGCAGTATTATATCATTAGATCATACGATTGGAGCAGTATCATGTACAAAAATAAAATTGTTTAATTAAATATCTCCCATCACGTGGGTCTCGATAAACCGGTCCCGGCCATCCAGAACCAGCTCCTGTCGGCCGGCTTATCGAGGCTGACTGTGTATTACTATTTATTTGTTTGTAATGCCCATAGTGATATTTGATTTTATATGACAACTTCAGTTCTTTCTCATGTGACCAATACTCTTTATTGTTCCCGTGTGACCGTCTAAGTTTGGCGTTTTACTCGAATTATTGTGACAGATTATCGCTCTTTTCAAAATTCTGCGAAAACAGCGAAAACTTCTGCGAGCCAGTGATTACTGAAGAGTACTTAATACAACTTTACCTCTTTGCTTAGCGCAAGGCAAGAAAAGAAAGCTTGTTGGGTTGTTGCCCAGCGATTATAACCGATTATAACCGATTCTATTGGCTGAAATTGTTTTCGTTTTCATTTTCGTTTTCTTTTTTTGATGATAATCATACTATTTTGAAAAGTGCTATAAAATGAAATTTTCTCTATTTTAATATAAAATTTTAAAGTTTTTTGGGGGCAATTTTTTTGGATTTGGGTTGGGATTAGGGTAACTTTTGTTAATAGAAGAGTCCCCGGATAAAAGTTTGTTCTCAAAATTATTTTGCAAGTTTTTCAAATAAATAGTTGCAATTTATATATTATTTGAAAGCTCTAGTTCTCAAGAATGTTTGTCATTAGAATCATTTTATATATTTTGTGAAATTTTTATTATGGTAAAATTAAAAACAAATTTGTCATTAAATTTATAAAATTGATGACCAATTTCAGCAGATAAATTTTTATTTTTACTGTTTTAATATCTAGTTGGAGTTTTGCGTTCTTTATTGCCAACACCTACGATTGAACGCTAAAGGTGTTTAATATTCTAGTTGGCCAATCATTGTTGGCAATACATTCTTCTATCCTTTGAAACCAGCTTCAGATATTTTTTATGTGGAATCTGTTCCAATTTTTTGGATGTTCAAGACGATTTTTTAATCTTCGACCAAGTTCATCCCACAGTTGCTTAATAGGGTTAAGGTCTGGTGACTGAGAAGGCCAATCTTCAAGAAGAATAATCTTCTTCTTAGACATCCATTTTTTTACATTCTTTGCAGTGTGGACAGGAGTATTATCATCCTGAAACTTGTGATCTTTTAGAAATGATTAATAAAAAAACTTTCTTGAAAATTAGAGCTTTTAAATGATATAAAATTGCAATTATTTATTTAATACAGTTTTGAGAAAAAAAATGTAAAACAAAACCAGTCGGTCATCGATTTTATAAATTTAATGACAAATTTGTTTTTAACTTTACCACAAAATATAAATATAATGCTAATGATAAACATTCTTGAGAACTAGAGCTTTCAAATAATATATAAATCGCAACTATTTATTTAGTACAATTTTGAAAAAATTGCAAAATAATTTTGGGGACAAACTTTTGTCCGGGAAGTGTATGGGTTTCAGAGGCATTAAAAAAAGACCCCAAATTTCGTTTTAATCTGCCACAATTATTGATAACAGAAGCTTATTTGAGATAATAATGGATTAACTGTGAAATCTTTTAGTGAAAAGACCGTCCAATGTGGTAAGAAAAGTAAACTATTTTGGGCAATATAAGAGATTAATTGCACTTATCATTATCTCTTTTCAGCATCAGATGGATGGCTTCGCGTTTTAAAACGACTTGCGAGTTTATAGAAGTTGGACAGCATTGATTACCAAGATCTTCCAAAACATTACAGAAGAATGCAATCCAAATGATATTTATTGCAATGAAACGGCCTTATTCTGGAAACTCGAATCCTCTCATACACTTGCACATAACCCTATGTCAGAAAGGAAAAAACTTAAGGATAGAATAACGGTAGCGGTGACTTGTAATGCAAAAACCGCTTTTACTACGCATCCATAAAAGTCAGACGCCACGAGCTCTTGGAATTGCGAAATCGAGTTTACGCGTTTGGTATTATTGGAACGCAAACGCTTGAATGGTGTAATCAGTCTTTTCTCATTATCTTAGTCGTGGACGGCTAACTTTTTTCTGGCTAAAAGTGATTAGTTTTTCTTGGTTTATTGTCGACAAATATGGTTTTTATGCGCGCTGATGAAAAAAGAAATCGAAAAATGATACCGTAGAGCACTGAATATAGTACCCCGGTAGAACACCTCAAGTTTTTGGATTGTACCCGACCCGGGGGGATGTACCCGGGGTACTATGTACGGAGGAGGGTCCTAATTTAGGGGGATACTATTTAACGTTTTATGTTTTATGCGTGTTTTACGTTTTATGCTTTTATCTGTGTGTTTTATGGGTACCAATTAAAACTCTTCAATTGGAAGAAGATACTGCCAAAAGTACTTATTCAAAAGGGGGGTACTATATTCAGTGCTCTACGGTAATACCGTTATCTGATAACGCCAAGACTGAGGAAGCAACATTACAGCCACTGGATCAATGAACAATATACGAGACAATGTCAATTTAAGGACAACTGGCACAATATTATAAATGCGATCAATATTCTTATTCGTGGAGTGATCTCTTGGTTGTGGGCTACAACGACATTACGGCACGATGAAATCTACCGTTGCACGCTCTTATATTTTACTCAATCACTCCTAGTAACTGAGTTTTTTTATCAATAATTCAGCTACGATAACAATAAATATTACTGGGATAAATATTATTATTATTTTATCAATTACTGCTGACTGCCTCGTAGTAACCGTTATCATTTATTCCGCTATCCTCGAAGTAATAAAAATGTAAGTTGCTGTGTTTCAGTTTATTGATAAGTTTCGGTTGATTGAATTAATAATGAATCGCATAACATACAAGTGTTAATAACTATGAATATTTTAATGTTATTTATAAGATAGCAATTGTTCATATAGATTGAATATCAGACAAACCGGGAAATCCATTAAAATTTTCGTTTTCCCAAAAGAGGGTATCTGTGAACAACCTGTTTAGAATATTATTAGTTGAGATACATAAACGTTTAATCTCCACAAAAATCCCACCTCTCCAAACTCTGTTCGCATTTCTTTTACCTCACCAAACAGAAAACACGTACCAGACAGCCCCTCCCAAACCTTCCCAAACAGACCACGGACGATCCGGCACGCGAAATTGTCCTTCCTTGGTTAACTGTTCCCATTGTAAGCACGCGTCCATAAACTCAACAGTCCATTCTAGATATTTTCTTTCGTTGGTGATTTTGAAAAGTATGAGGAAAACGTAAGCGTTTCCAGATACGCCATGACAAAGACCAACGCCTTTACGAAGGATTCCATAATCGTGCACAAACATGGCAGCTTCGGCGGCTATTTCTAGATATCTTTAGAAATTTAAGGAAGAATGGTATGTACTTGAGTGGGATGTCACTTCTACAAAACCTTAATAATACACGTTCGCTACATATATATTTATTTACATCCTTTATATTACTCAAATTCCAACTCCAATTCGTTTCAACCCGATCCGACCCACCTTTTTTTTTTTACTTCGCTCTGATAAAACTTACCTAGCTTCTTTAAACACCTCATACGCCCTACAAGCAAGAAAAGCAATTCCGGGAGCTCCATGGCAAAATTGCACCAAATCAGTTTTCCCTCTATCTAAGCTACTCATCCAGTTGCCATTTTCTCCTCTTGTCTCGAACAGAACAAAATCTATCGCTCTCTTGATAATATCCCTGTATTCGCAAACTTTGTCAGGAAACGAGAGCAGAACGGTTAGAATTCCCGCAGCACCATGTGCGGCGCCAAGGTAGAAAGTTTCGTGCCATTTCCAAATGAGCGGAGTTTTGGCGGAAAGACCAGAGTCAGAGGCGGTGCGTGAACCGTTTTCAATTATCGCATCAAAGATTGAAGAAATTATCTGGTTGATTTTGTCTGAAGAGTATTCGGTCGTTGGGCGTTTGTCATTATTTCGTAGAATACGATGAGAATGATGCGAGCTTTCCGCACTCGGAACCGGATTACTCGGCAATTTGAAATTATCCGAAAAACTCGAAAAAAGAGGTGCTGTATATTTCAAAGCGTACAACAATCCAGCACGACCATAAAGCAGTTCAGATTGTGTTCGGGGAGTGAACGCTGAGCGAGCAAAGTGAGTCTGTAATAGGTGTAAACTGTGATTGCTTGTTTCGTAGTCACCCACGTGATGTTTAACTAGATACATTCGAAAAAAAAGAACACGGTTTTGATAACCTCTTTATCTACTCTTGCCATTTTGATGGTGTCGGAATCTCATTCACATACCATGCGCAACAATAGCATACAACCCGACAGCAGTACGTAAAAACCCGCACTTGTTCTCAATGTGCGCGGGGAGTGAAGGATCGATAGGTAATGAAGGATGTGTTGCGTGGCAACTTGCAAGCGCGCTGTCGATGTATTCTTCAGCAATCTTCAATGCAGTTTTTGGGCCAATCATGAAACCTGAAATTGGAACAAGAGGTAAGCGAAACAGGCATTATATAGATGAGGAACACATTGCAGACAAAGGCTTGCCTGGATCTCTTTCATGGATTCGAAAAAAAAGCAACGACAGACCGGCTTTCCCTGTTATATCAACGACGTCATTAAGTCGATTGTTTTCACTCTCTTTCCAGATAATTCTATTGTTTTATGAATATCTTACCCACATAGACGTCCCAATAAGGATACTCTCTCTCCGGCGGTATCTCTTGTAAAATTCTCGTGCATTCTCTCAGTAGCGCCTTCTGAAGTAATGCTTTATACTCTGCTGTTATTATTTTGTTATAGACTTCTGGAACGCGATCATCGAGCTCAGACTGTACACTCATTGTGTTTGTAGAAAATGATTTATCTGACATTGTAAACCAAGAATGTGTTTTCGCAACAAGTGGAAGCGCCAGGTACTAAAGCAATATATAACTTCACTAGTCGTTTGCTCACGTGAACTGCGACGCCCGAGAGTTAGCCTCACAAACTTTCCATCCCCAATGGAACCAAACAAACGCCGCGAGCTAACGGATATTCTTCTTCTATCCTTCGTTCTCTTAGACATTCTAACTCTGGGGTTTAGTTTTTATGAACCACAACCTAAATGCTATTCGTTTGAGCGAGGGATCTGTTTGGAAACGGAGAAAGTGTATTACAAATTTGATAAAAAGAAAGAGAAATCTGGCTAACTCCAAAAGGTATCAAAAAAACTGAAGAGTTCTACGGAATTGATAACCTCTTTTCTTTCGCAAAAACAAACCGGGCACTTTAGAGAGCTAAATCATTTCTTTCTTTCTTTCTTTCTTTTCACTTTAAGTACGCTATTGCCACGGGAGAGTCTTATCCATACCATGCAATTGACCGTCCTAGCGTCCTTTGAAGCAATCTCCATAGCTACACTGTCTGTAGCTTCTGCTAGTCATATCGCCTAATACTAAGTGTTCATTTGTAGTCAAACGCGAAGGCAAAAAGTGTCCCACAGAAAAGATTTCATCGTACCTGCCGATCTCGATCAGAATAAGCAGTTGTACCAGGATCGACGTCAAACGGTTCGAGATAAATACAAAACGTCCCCTCTATATCTGAAATTTATAGATTCTCTTCTACCTTATCTTCTCCATAATAATTACAATTCATTTTTCCATATTGATATACTGTCATAATTAACAATAACAATTTCTTTATTATTATCTTAAACATTAACTTTGTAACT